TGTCCGCTGTGCCCGGATGCCGACTGCGTGAACCCGCAGGGACCTTCTATGCCCGGGAACGGCTGTCAGCGCTGTACGAGTTCATTCGAGGGGCCTTGCACAATGACTGGTTGCCCTTTGAGCTCTTGGCCTCTGGAGGGCAGAAACTGGCGGAGGATGAGAATGTGGCCTTGAACGAGTGTGGACTGGTGAGTGGGGTGAGGAGACTCACCGGCCAGGGAGGTGGGCTGCTGGGCCCAGAAGAGGAAGAGGAGGCCTCAGAGTTGGGGCAGGTCTTGGGTGGGTGGAGGGTCCTGGGCCTGGCTCTGTTTGAATTCTGCTTTCTAGTCCCGCGTGGTGGTGAACAGCTGTAATCTCAGGATTCTGGGAAGCTGAGGCAGGAGGATCTTGAGTTAGAGGAATCTTGAGACGTGCTGAGACCCTTATCTTGGAAAATGAAAAAGGGGGCTGGGGATTTAGCTCAGTGGTGCTGCCCCTGTGTTTCCAGTGTGAGGTCTGGAGTTTGACCCCATACCAAAAAAAGGGGTGGTGGTGGAGCTAAGTCTGGCTCAGTGTGAAGATCTTGGGTTTGATTCCTAGTACAAACCCCGTCCCCCCAAATCGTAGAGTCACCTTGACCTGCTAAGTCTGGTGAGTACCTGCATAGTGGCTGGTCCCCTCCTATGAAGTGGTTGTAACCGTTCTCTAAGGAGCAGAACCAAGTGGAATTAGGATGCAGGGTTTCATCCAGGAGGGTGTACTTACTACAGGCAGAGGTAGAGCCTGAGTCACCCCTTGGAAGGGAGCCCCTGGGGGACGGTCAGCTGTGCCCAGCTGTGTCCTGCTGCTGAGCCATCATTTGGGAACAAGGTGACGATCTGACCACCCCACCCAGGTGCCCTCGGCCCTCCTGACCTTCTCCTGGGATGCGGCTGTGCTGGAGGACATCAGGGCCGCAGGGGCCGAGCCAGACTCTTCCATCCTGAAGCCAGAGCTCCTGGAGGCCATGGAGCAGCTCTCCTAAAATAAAGGCAGAGCTGGCTTCTGCCTGAGTCTGTCTTATATTCTTCTGTCCCTGTCCCTCTCCCGAGCCATGAGCCACCTCTGGAAACACCTGCCCTGGTGTGAGCCCCCCAGCAGGGGAGGCACTAACCAGCTGAAAGGCTGTAGATCTCCCGCAGAGACTCGGTCCCTTGAGGAGGCCCCCCGCCAGTGTCCCGGAGCCCCAGGGCAGACAGTTGGGCAGAGCTGTGCGGGTGCAGGCCCCACATGGGTGCAGGCCCCACATGCTGTGGACCAGCGTGGCCTGTCCAGCCCTGGAGCTGGTGACAACTGCAGGGAGGTGCTGGCCTGGCAGCACAAAGATCTACAACTTATAACTTATAAACCTTCATAAATATTTGCATAGTTTTCTGTGGTCAAACTGCGTGACACAGGCCGAGGTCCCCTCCACTGTGCCGCCCAGCAGCGCAAGGCCAGATGTGGGTCAGCCTTGCCTAGGGCTGTCACTTTGCTCTCTCTGTACTCGTTTGCACCATCACACCTGAGACTGGGTAAAATAGCAGTGCAGTGGGTCAGTTGTTTGAGGTTCAGGGGCTCAGAGCTGGCGGCATCCTGATGGCCCGCGTGACTGATGGCGTCAGGTGGGAGCTTGGGAGACCGGTTGAAGTGCAAGGTGGAGCCAGAGCACAGGAGAGGTGGGGCTGTCCTCAGTGGGACCCTTCCTGTGGGAATTCTCTGTCCACCACTTCCCAGCGGGTAACCCTTAAAAGGCCTGCACCTCAGCTGTACCACCCTGGGGTCTGAGTTCTGAGCCCATCAGCCTGGAGAGAACAGGCTCACACAGTTAAGGGACTCAGACCGCATTTTCCTGTGCCTGGCAGGAAATTGTACCCCAAAGACAGCCAGACATGCTATGACAAACCGCCGTTTAAGCCATCTAGAACGTGGAGCTGGCTGTACAGTAAGGAGGTGCTCCGGGCCGTGTTCTTGGCCCAGTCCCTGACACTGCTGTCTGCAGCCAGACTTGGAGCTTGGAGACCCCAGCTGGCTGTGGGGTGCACCAAGGTGCCACTGGTCCTGCATCCTCTGCCAGTTTTAGGACTCAGTTCCACATTGTCAGTGCCCCAGTTGGACTGGCCTAAGGGGACTTGAGGGTGGGCCCTACTCCCAGCAGGAGACCCTGGGAGTTGCAGGGGAAAGCTGCTGGGGTGAGACCTGGGATGGGGCTGCCTAAGCTCAGCTGCCTGTTCAGTCTAAGCTCTGTGCAAACAAAGCGCCAGCCTCCTTTGGGGACGGCACGCAGAGGCCACAGGAGTCTGTGTTCCAGGTGCTCACAGCAAGTGCTCAGACTTGACCCTGCGGGCCGGCTGTTGGGCTTGTCGGAGCCTTGACATCTCCAGGCTGCTTGCTCTGCATGCTCACGCTCCCCCGAGGTGGTCGGCACCAGTGTCCCGAGCCAGACTCAGAACACAGCTCCTCGCCCAACCCCGTGCGCAGGAGGGACGAACCCTCAGTTCCAACCAGGCCAGCAGGAGGCCCACTCAGAGTGGCAGGGGCACCTAGCTTCCCCCACACACGCTGGGCGCGGTGGACGGGACAGAAGAAAGACAGGCGGAGGTCGGGGCTAGAGAACAAGTTTATACACTTCCACATCTGGCCAGCGCCCGCCAAGGCCACGGGCGTCTGGCGATTCAATTCATTTACATGCAAGTGTCTGACCCAGCGCCTGCACACCTCAGGGCCCAGCAGCGCCGTACAGGCCACACCTCACAATAATGCTTTATTAAAGGGAAAATTAATATGCAGCGTGGGGAGATATTTTACAAATGTCAAGAACTAGTCAGGCATCCATATAAAACCTTTCCAGACCCCGAGAGGCCTGTGAAGCGGGACAAAGTGCTCTTTACACAGGAGTCGGCAGAATGTTCAAGTATCGTCCGCGAGGATTGTTCCACACGCAGCGCCGGCTGCTCAGGAGGCGCCCAGCGGGCTTGCGGGCAACGGCCCCTCACCGGTGTCCGTGTCCACGGCGCCTTCGGCTCCTGCTGTGGTTCCGCATGGCTCCTGGGCCTCTGGAGGGGGAAGAGGCTGCTGTACCCACCGGGCTTCCCGCCCTGTCACCTCCTGTCACGGTGCTGCCCTGGCTTGCATCTCGCTTGGAGTCTCAGCCCTCCCTCGCTCCCTTGAGCTCACGCCTGCTCAGTCATGCTCCCTGCAGGGCCTTGGACTTTCCCTCTGCCCAGATCGCCCTACCCAGAAACCCACCCATATCTTTTTTTTTTTTTTTTTCTTCAGTACTGGGGATGGAACTCAGAAATCTGGCACTGAGCTACATCCCCAGCCCTTTTTCAGTTTTTCATTTTGAGACTGGATCTCCTTAAGTCACTAGTCCATGCTGGGCTCCAGCCTTGGTCTCCCAGGGTGCTGGGATGACAGATGTGGACCACCACATCCGGCCCGTCCTGGGTATTTTAACTCAATCTCTGTGATGTACAGAGTGAACCAGAGCACGCAGGTGCTTTCCTTCCAGTCCCGGCAAGAAGCAGAGGGCTTGAAACCCTTCTCACCCCCAATACCCGGGATCTCCACGATCATACAGTCGCCATCCTCTTCCTCCTCCTCCTCCGTGTCCCCCTGGAAGCCATCCATGTCCCCAACTCCAATCTGCACAGAAATGGACAGACTGTCAGCAGGGAGGGGGCAACTCCTGTCACTGGCCTCTGCCGTGTGACTCCTCATCTTCCTTACACTGCACAGCCTCCAGGAACTGATCTGGGGACCCACTGCAGACTTGAGAGGTGCATTAGGGAGCCTGTGACCAGAGCAAAGCCCCTGAACGCCTGCTGAGGCAGGAGGATGGCAAGTTTGAGTCCAGCCTGAGCAACTTGGCATCTTAATAAGATGGCCTTGTTTCAAAATGAAAACAACTAAAAAGGGCTGAGGATGTAGGACAGTATGAAGGCCCTGGGTTCAATGCCCAGTACACCCAAAAGGGGGACTGTTGCCAAACATATGTTTTCTGAGTCTACTTGTTCCAATAAACAGCTGAGCACTCAGCAGGTCAAGAGCGTCTTCAGTGCCATGGCCCAGCCACTCGGGGCCCAGGCAGGAGGAGACAGGTTGGATGGGAAAGCCAGAGCTTCTGTGGCGAGTACTTGCCTAGCTTGTGTGAGGGTCAGGGTCCAACCCCCCCACTGTTAAACAAAACCCTCCAATCTGCCGTTTGCCTAGCAAAAGGGCAACAGAAAACCAAAGGGATGGTTTGCACACTGGTTCCCTGGCCTCCTAGGGCACAGAACCACCCAATCTTGGCCTGAACACCACACTGGGTTCCTGTGTACCAAAACGACCATTTAGCTTAGTGGTTCCACTGCCTGCCTCGTAAGCGTAAGGTCCCATTCAATCACTGGTACCAAAAAACAAAACAAAACAAAAGAAGCAATGACCAGTGCTGAGGGCCAGAGGTGGTGCTCAGCGGGCTCCTAGGCTGCATCCTTCCAGCCTGGCCGAGGGGGATGCCTGTAAGCAGGGGACAGACCCCTTCCTCAGAGCGGCCAGCCTGGTGGCCTCCGCAGGGGGAGCAAGTAGAGATGAAGGTTTCCCTGACCAGACCCAGACCCGCCCGGCACCAGACTCATCACCCCCAGAGGCAGAGGGAAGGAGGCTGAGCTCCGGCTGTTCTCTCCCTTTCGCCTCTCCCCCTTTGCGTTTGGACGGAAGTCGGGAAGTCCTAAAGTCGTGCTGAGTTGGGAGTGTTATGGCTTCTCCAAGGACTCGTTCAGAGGCGGGGATTGTGGGAGGCTGGCAGTGGGTTCAGCCAACGAGGTCACTGGAGTGTAACCGGGAAGGGTCCATCTCCCTGCCCAGCTCCTAGCTTCTTTCTGCTTTCTGGCTGCTATGAGGCAAGCAATTCTCCGCAGCAGCCCTTCCACGGGCCGCATCTGCCCTGGAACCAGCTGACTATGGACAGACTGAGGCCCTAAGATAAAAGAGCCAAAATAAACCTCTCCTGTAAGCTGTGGGTGTCAGGGTACTGAGTCCTAGCGACTAAGACACCCAAGCTGGCCTTGAACTCAAGCTAACCTCCTGCCTCAGCTTCCTGTGGAGCTGGGGTAACTGGCACACACCACCATGTCTGCTCCCTGGCATTTCAGTCATAGGTTGTTTGGTGGGGAATGGTAAACAGCCTATTTCGAAACACTTAAATAGCGCTGGGGATTTAGCTCATCGGCACTGCACCTATCTCGCAAGCACAAGGTCTTGAGTTTGATGCCCGGTAGCAAAAAACAAAAAAACCACTTAAATAAAACCAAGGCCAAGGGGTTGGGACATCCTTGGGCCAGAGATGCATGTACTGGCAGGACATCAGCCAAGGTGAACCCCTGTCCCTCCTCCTAGGGCATTAACACCAAGGACTGAAACTGGATTTTTTTTTTTAGTTTTTTTGAGACAGGGTCTCACTATGTAGTTGAGACTGACCTGGAACTCACTATGTAGCTCAGGCTGGTCTCAAACTCACAGCGATTCTCCTGCCTCAGCCTCCCGAGTGCTGGGATTACAGGCATGCGCCACCACACCCGGCCAAAACTGGATTCTTGAGCTCTGAATGAGAACTTTAAGAGACCGGAAAACAGAAAAAGCTCAACACGAACATCTCTATGCACATTTCTAGTGGCCTCGGCTCCCCGGCTGCTGTGCCCATCTGCACGGCCTCTGCCGCACACCTAAGGCTGTGTGCCACCTTGCAAAACAGAACTGGGGTTGGCGAGTGCTCATCTCTTCCGATATTGGCAGCTACCAAGCACAGTGGTCAGAAGCCATCCAGGGGGGCACAGACCGTGGGCCGAGAGGATCCCAGCCCTGAGCAGAGGATTCCAAGGGGTTTTTAGGAAGAACACAGGGCCTCTCTGATCCACCGGGCTCCAGCCTGGACTTGTGCCATGTGGCCTTAGGCAAGGCCCTCACTGCAGAAAGGGAGTGGAGGCCGCGCTGACCACAGGCAGCTGTCACCCGACACATGGCTGCAGCGGCTGGAGCACCTCACCTCCAGGGGACCCGCCCGCGCAGCACGGGAGGGAGGGCAGACATGCTGGGCAGAGGCACCCCACCAGAGGCTCTCGGGGCAGGGCACCCTCTCTGTGAGGCTGAGGCGCACGTGCGTCACCACGCATTTGTCCAGAGCCACAGCGCTCCACACCAAGGCCGAGCTCTAACACCCCCGACTCTGGGGATGACGCCGGGGAGGCCCAGCCGTCACAAACACGCCGCGGGCCGGAGGCTGCAGGGGTCCACTGCCCACCCATCTTCCCCTCCGCCTAGCACGGCTCCGGAAAACGAGCAGCAGCCTTGGGGGGGCTCACCTGCCCGTCGTGCCTCCGCTTCTTCATGAACTGTGTGATGCACATGCTACCCCCCGACTTCCTCTTCAGCGACACGGGTGTCACCTGGCCGGGCGGCGTGGCAGACACAGCACCACTGTCCTCTCTGGGGGCCGAGGGCACCATGGTGACGTAGCTCCACTGGCAGGGCACGGGCAGGTGCTCCTGGTTGAAGCTGTGCAGCACCTGTGGACGGACGTACCAGCACATCCTGAAGTCGGGCCGCTTCTCGTACACCGAGTTCTCGGAGATGATGCGCTTGAGCCTGGCTTTGGAGGGCACGGCGGCGTCCTCAGTGGGCGTGTGCGGGCGCGGGGTGGTGGGGCTCGGGGGGCCGCTGGCTCCCCCGACGCCGAGCAGGCCCCGGCGGCAGTGCTCCTGGAACTCGCGGATGATCGCCTTGCTCCCGTTCACATTGCCGTGCAGCAGTGGCAGCAGCTGGGCCAGGACTGGCGGGACAGGGGACACGGGTGGCCTGAGGAGGTGCAGATCCTCGGGACCCACACGAGGGGCTGTGACTGTCTGCGGGGTTTGGGCACAGCCAGCCTCGGGGAGGCCTCCTAAGGGCGGGCTGGGACAGCACGTACTGTGCGCAGGCTCGAGAGGCAACTCCAACCCCCTGGCAGGGAGGCCAGCTCTGGTCAGGTGAGTCTGCACGGCCAACCTTTCTGACTGGCCGCCTCCCCCAGGCTGCCACAGATGGTGCTGGGGGAGGAGCCTACAGCCTTCACACTGAGCTACATCCCCAGCCCTTTTTATTTTGAGATTGGATGTTGCTAAGTAGCTCAGGCTGGGCTCAGATTTGCAATCCTCCTGCCATGCCCGAGTGGATGGGATGATAGGGCTGCACCACCGTGCCTGCTTATCATTTTTACTTATTTTTTCGGTCCCAGGGATCAAACTTGGGACCTTGCACTTGTGAGGCAGGCAGTGGCACCGAGCTAAATCCCTGGCCCTGCTTATCATTTTTAGCTGCTACCACTGCCCCTGCTTTTGAAAATTAAGGAGGCACCGCTATGTCCCAGACAGCCATGAAAATGGTCACAGTCAAGACCGGGGATGTGGCCCAGTGCTACGTAGAACAGGTGCTCAGCACCCATGAGGCCCTGTGTTCCGTCCCTAGCACCAAAACACTCCGAGGCCTGCAGCTGAGGGCCCCACACCTGCCCCACTCACTCTGCTGGTCTCGCTTCTCCCGCTTGGTGGCCTTGGGCACCAGCTCATCCTCAGAGGGCGCTGGCTCCAGTCGCCAGGCTGTGAACTGCTGCAGCACCTTGAGGTCGGCGGCCGAGCAGTCTGCGCTGTCGGCCCACACACAGCCGATCTTCACAGGCTGGAGCACACGGACGCGCTTCCCCTTGGCCAGGAACTCATCCCACTCCTTGGCCTTGAGCTTCTGGCGCACCTTGTGCTTCTCCGGGTCGCCACACTCCTTTCGGGTAGGACAAGGGAGACTATTTAGGGTCCCTGCTCCCTTCGGCCCTGGCCGGTGCTACAGATGCCGCCTTTAGAGTCGGCTGCTGTCCCTTGTCCGGCCCTGTGCAGGAACTGCCAGATGGAATAACTAGGGCATCACAGACGTTGTCCTGAACTCACCACCAAGCCTCTTCTGGCTGCTGAATTTCTGTTTTGTTTTGTTTTATTGTTTTTGACACAGGGTCTCACTATGTAGTTGAGATTGACTTGGCGCTCACTATGTAGCCTAGGGTGGTCTCGAAACTCACAGCGATCCTCTTGCCTCAGCCTTCTGAGTGCTGAGATTACAGGCGTGCACCATCACGCCTGGCCTCAAAATTTCCCACCCATTTTCAATTCAATACATTGCCACATGCCTCCCTGGCAAGGGTCTCTGCCCAACAGACATGCCATGCTGAGCCCACTCCAGGCTGTAGCGGTGGGGTGCAGCACACCAGGACACGCTTTGGCTGAGGCTGACCTGGGACAGCCCCGCATCCTCCCGACCCAGACCACAGGCCCTCACGCCCAGAGCTGCTGCCCCACCAGGTCCCTTACCTGCACCTGGAGTTTCCTACACAGGCACAGCCGGCCACCCCCCCACCCCACCCCCCTCACAGAGACAAGGTCAGCGTCAGCCATGTCCACAGATGAAACTTGAGCCTAGGGACGCTGTCCATGCCACAGTAGGGAGTGGGTGTGGACTGAACTGGGTCAGGACCCACCAAGCAGCAGCCTCCCTTACTAAGCTCTTTTACACTAAGCACACACTATGGAAGGACGCCTCTCCAGACCATTTTAGTTTTAGTTATATATTTATTTCTTTGAGACAGGGTCTCACTAGTTGTTCAGGCTGGCCTTAAACTCACTATGTACCCTGCTCTAGCCTCAAACTCACAGCGATCCTCCTGCCTCAGCCTCCGAGTGCTGGGACTATAGGGAGTGCCACCACACCCAGCCATCTTACTTTTACTTTAGGGCAGCGTCAGTTTTTTGTTTTTTTGAGACATGGTGTTACTAACTGCCCAGGCTGGCCTCAAATTCAAGAGATCCTCTTGGCTCCAGGGTGTTGGGATGACAAGTACATGACACCACCCCGGCCCCCAGCTAAGCTTTTTCTGAGCCAGTGTCCGGCCCTCACCTCAGTTACACCTTCATCCTCAGACAGGTACCCATGGGGCACAAAAAAGCCATCGTCGTCGTCCTCATCCTCCCCCACTTCATCGTCATCATCCTAAAAGGAGGGAAATAACTTTTGCCAAATGCAATGCGAAAACAGAATATGAACTTTGTTAAAAAATGCAAATGAGGGTCTCGGGGGCAGCTCAGTGGCACACACCATCTTAGCTTCTGGGGGACCCCCGATTCCAGCCCTAGAATCACACACGAGAAAGCTGAATGCAGACGTAAGGGGTCCCTGCAGGACTGTGGGTCGGGGAGGCAGAGGAGGGCCCCTCGGGCCCCCGCAGCTCGCCCCGCCCGCACCGCCAGGGTGGCCTCTGGCTGAGGGTTCCCGCCGTCCGCCCTGGCTGCCCTTACCCCTTCGCTGTGGGACAGCGACTCCCCCGGCTCCTCCTCTTCCCACTCCTCATCGCTGTCCACCTCATAGTCAAGGAGCTTCTGCAGGGAGACACGGGGCATCACCACCACCTTTGGCATCGGAAACAAAAGGCAGGGCAAGGCCTTCGAGTCGGGCGCTCACCTTGTCCTGGGCCCAGGGGTCCCGCGGGCGGATGACTGCCGTCCTCTTATTCCACGTGCCCCAGTATGCTGGACGGTGATTCTCAGAGAACTGCAGGAGCTTCATGCGGCCGAACTTCCGCCTCTCGGGCACGGCGTCGCCCTTGCTGGTCTCCACAATCACCACGTCCCTGAACGGCCAGATGGCAGAGACACGTGTCCTGCTGCCACCCACATGCCTCACGCACACACAGGGCAGCGCAGGGAGCCGCCACACCATTGTAACAGCAGCACTGCCTGCCCCCAGAGCACGGCGAGAAGCATTCGTGTAAAACGCACAGACCAAGCCATCCCAGAGCCAGGCTGCTGGGAGGGAGGGTGCTGTGTACGATGTAAGCCAGCAAGGGCACAGATGTGCTCTGTGGGACCCTGCCGGGGACTGTGAAGACAGGATCTGGGGACTTACACTGGGCAGGGTAGAGGGAGGCCTGAGGCCCAGGAGAGGAGGGGACAAGTGCCACCGTGCAGCAGCAAGAGTCCAGCCTGATGCTCTGACCCGGCCCCTCAGGCCCTGATCCCGACCTAACCTGTTGACCGTGTCTGTGTCCCGGCTGCAGATCCCAGTGGGCCCAGACCTCAGTGGCTGGCGGCCTCTGAGGTCCCTCAGGAAGGAGAAGTCTCCGCTCTGCTGTTGGAGGAGCTGGTCTAACCGATCACACAGGTCCTGGTCCAAGGTGGCCCGACACCAAGGGGCCAGGACCATGCGCTCTTTAATCTCAAAGGGGGCAAACTTCCCACAGGAACCGGCCAGGGTCTGAAAGAGAGGAGGCCCCGTGAGACATGGGGTGGGAAATGAGACCCCCCTTCTGTGGGGAGGATGTACAGGAGCATTCATGGTGGAGTGGGAGGGGTTAGGTGTGGGGCAGGTTGCAAGGGAGCTCTCAGACACCTAGCTCCACTCGATTCTGGAAAGTACAACTACTAGGGCATCGGGTGAGTGGGATGGGCAGTTTTGTGGGGTGACAGAAACTTCCAGATCTTGATTACGTGGCCTGCTAACATCTGTGAGAACTATATGGCAAGACCGGAAAAGGGTAAATTTTACTGTATGCAAATTATCCCCCAATAAACCCGCAAGGACAGAAGGAAGGATAGAAAGACAGATGGATGACAAGACCCAAGACACAGGTGGTGTGCTTACCACCCCCAGCCAAGCCCAGAGGAGCCAAGCTCCTTCCCCTAAGACGGTGCCCAGGGGAGTGACTGGCACACCAGGAGCCCCAACATAAAAATCAACGTGATTTACCACACAGGCCCATTTTCAACACTGTGGCCTGGAAGGGTCCCGAAACACCATGGTAACCTTCTCAGCCTCTCCCCATTGCCAATTCTGGCAAAGCCAATCCGTTCTCCCTGACCCCCTTCAATGCTGACACCCACGGATCCACCCCAAGGATTCCAGCCCAGGAGGAGGAGGAGTTGGAGGGGAAGCCATCTGTGAGGTTTGCACGGACCAGCTTTTCACCTCAGGAGGAAAAGTGCCAGAGCCGGCAAATCTCCACAGTGGCACAGCACAGAGCTCACGGGGACTGTTGTGCCAACTGGGCATGCTGGTGCACGCCTATAATCCTAGCACTCAGGAGGCTGAGGCAGGAGGATCCCCACAAGTTCGAGGCCAGCCTGGGATACACAGTGAGTTCAAGTCCAGCCCGAACTACACAGCAAGAGCCTGTCTTATAAAAAAAACCCCAAAAGACAACAACAACAAAAACTTGGTGTCCACAGCAAACCCACCAGGTTCTCAGAGGGTAGCCAGGCTCCAGGACTCTGGAAAGCTCCTCAGTAATTCCCACAAGCAGCCGAGGCCGAGTGTGGGCGGCCTCTTCATGGAAGAGGGCTGGGAATCTTTGCTGCCTGTGTAGGAGAAACAGGAAGGCCACGCTCCAGACCCTATGTGAATACCAGGCGGTCCCGCTAAGCTAAGGACCTGCATGTAAAAAGCAAAAAATAAGGGGCAGCAGGCCGGGGATTTAGCTCAGTGGTTCCACCACCTGCCTTGCAAGCACAAGGTCCCATATACAATCCCTAGTACCAAAAAAAACCCCAAAAAACTAAGGGGCCTGGGATTTAGCTCAGTGGCGCTGAGCAGGACTCGCAATTGTAAAGTCCTGAGTTTGATCCCTGGGACAAAAATAAAAATAAAGAAGCAAAAAGCAAAACTAAAAAACTAAGGTTAGGGACGGGGATTTGGCTCAGCTGTTCAGTGGCCTGCCTTGCAAGCGCAAGGACCCAAGTTCAATCCCCAGTACCAAACAAACAAACAAACAAAACCCCTAAGGTTAAACAAACAAACAAAGGGGATGGGGATGCAGCTCAGTGGCAACATTTGCGTAGCACATACCAGATCCACGGTTCCATCCCCAACACCAGCAAAAACAGAAACAAACAAACAAAATAACCACAGAGTGAAAAAAAGAATTAGAAAGTAAATTAGAAGAACATATTAACAACCAGAGAACATAAGGCGCTTTCCAATCAAAAGCCAACTGTCCTAAGGGAACAAAAGCAATAATGAGGAAACAGTAGGTTGCCAGGCATGGTGGCACATGTCTTTAGTCCTAGCTACTCAGGAGGCTGAGGCAAGAAGACGCAAAGTTTGAGCCTTTCTTGGAAAAAAAGTACTGAAATAGGGTTAGGGATACAACTCAGTGGAAAGGCCTTTGGTTCAATTCCCAGGGCCCCCAAAACAAAACAAGAATGAACCAGATCTTTAGGAGGCGTGGTAGGAACAGGAAGCGCAGGCAAGTGCGCAAGGCCGCGACGGGAGGGAGTGAGCACCAGCCAAGTTCCATGCACAGGACGCTCCGGTCAGCCAGGGCATCCGCACAGGGGTGGACCTGCTCATGGGGCCTCCGGAGGTGGGGGCAGAGGCAGCATCCCGCACAGACGCCAGCCCAAAGGCCCAAACTGCCAGGTGGTGTCACCGGCCCAGGGAAGCAGCACTCGGTGCTATTGTATTGCGGCTGACCCTGGGCACGGTGAGTAGCCGCTTCCCAGGCAAGGACCAAGCTGCGTTTCCTTTTCCTTCCCCCTTCTTTCTATACCCTCTGCCCCACGGTACTAGTTTCATACTGAGCTACATCCCCAGATCTTTTTTAAAAACTTTACTTTGAGACAGGGGTCTTGCTAAGTCACGCAGGCTGGACCTCAACTTGTTTGTTTTGTTTTTTGTATTTTTTAAGACAGGGTCTCACTGTGTAGTGAGTCTGACCTGGAACTCACTAGGTAGCCCAGGCTGGTCTCGAACTCACAGTGATCCTCCTGCCTCAGCCTCCCAGAGTGGTAGGGTGAAAGGTGCGCACTGCCACATATGGCCAAGTTATCTTCAATACCTACAACAAAGCTGTTCAGCGAGCAACCTTTGAAGGCTCGGCACTGTATCACATGTGCCTTTTGGGACAAAGCGAGTGACCAGATATTGAACCTTCAGACTTTCCCAGAAATCAAAGTGCCCAGGATTCCTGGAAGCCCTATGGTAATGAAAGGGAAGGCAACTGGTCGCATGACACCCTTAGGTTTGTAAAAACACAAAAGATGGAAAGCCTGAGTTGGAAGTGAGGGAAAGGAAGGCGCTGCTCACCTTGGGGGCTTGTGGGGTCTTTGGTTTCTGGAAGAACCTGGTGATCTCAGCCTTTTCTGCCTTAAGGCGCTGGGAGCAGGGAGGAAGAACATGGGTTTAGACCACGCAGAGGCCTCCAGAAGCAAAGCCTCAGTATCTCCCATGTGAAGACACCATTTAAACTCCAGCTCTCCACACCCGCAGACTCAGTCTCAGAAGGCCAGAGCTGTCCTCGAGGGAAGGGGCACCCGGGTGTCAAGCAAGTACGTGCGTGAAGAGCTGCACTGAGGCACATTAACAGGTTCATTTGTCCCACGGGCCCTGCGTGGTTTCCCCAGGCAGAACACAGAGCAGCAAGGCAGGCGAAGATGCCATTTCCGAAACGGGCTTCCCAGCAAGGCCAAAGAGGGGCAGGGCAGAGAGTACACGCTACCTTTTCCTCCTCCCGTAACCGTTTCTCCTTCTCCTTTTTCCTCTTCTCCTCCAGTTTAGCCCTGCAAGATAGCAAATCGTGTGTCAGTCATCCACCACCTTGGGTTGCAGCAGTGACGAGAGCACTTAGCTGTTAAGTGTCCAGGAGTTTATTCTGCAGGCAATGGCTATGAATTATTTCGAACGTCTACTATAAAGCTACGACATACGTATTCACAAAGAAAAATGAAAAAAAAAAAAAACTCAAAACACCCAGGTATTATGGCACCGCACGCCTTGTCATCCCAGCAGTTTGGGAGGCTGAGACAGGAGGATCACAAGTCTGAGCCCAGCCTAGGCAACGGAGTAAGAACGCGTCTCAACCACAAAGTGACTAAAAAATCAAAACAAAATAAACCCTCAGACCTGAGAAAAAAATCTCAGGCAGCCAGCCGGTAATCCGCATGCATGCAAGATGAGAAACCTGACGTGAATGGGTTAGGAAAAGGTTCCTGGGCAGACGGGGGCTCAGCACCAGGAGAGGACGGGGGCAACAGAGCGCGAGCCTGGTGGTCTTGCCTTTCCCGCTGTTTATCCTCAGCAAGACATGCACGAAAACCAGCAGGAAACTGCTGCTTGCCTTCTGGATGGGACGGCAAGGGCTGAGGCAGAGGGGGCCAAGGCGGGCGGCCGTGCCCACCGCCGGGACACTTACTCCAGCGCCTCCTGCCTCTCCTTGCGCCGCTCTTCCTTGAGCCGCTGCTTTTCCGCCCTCTCCTTCTCGTCCTTCTCCCGCTTCCTGCGCCTCTCCTTCTCCTTCAGCTCCTTCTCCTGCTCCTTCCTCCTGCGGGCCTCCTCTCTGGCACGCCGGGCCTCTTCCTTCAGCTTCTCCTTCTCTTCTCTCAGCTGCTCTTTGCCCTAGGAGACAATGCCCCAGGTGGGCTCCCCAGCGCCACCCTCCGGGCCTGGAGACACAGGGCCTGGTGCAGGAGAAGCGCTGTGGTCCAAGCCCTCGTGCAGTCTCTTACCAAAGAGAGGAGGGACCGAGAGACGGACGGAGGGGAAGGGACACGGCAGAGTGTGAAGGCCCCGAGTTCAACTCCCGGCTCCAAAAATAAAAACCACAGAAGAAATTCTCAACCCCGATGGGGCTGAGGTCAGTCTAACGAGAGCCACTGGGCCGTGCTGAGAAAGACGTCCGAGTGTTTCATGCCAGGAATCCGTGAGTGATGACCAGACACAGGGGTCACCCGGGGGTGACGGACAGGCACGGATGCCACAACAACACCGTGAGGTGGGAAGAGCAGTTTCCGATGCTAGGTAAGGCACCCAGGAGGCCCTAGAAACTGCAGGTAAAGCCGATCTCTCAGCCGCACAGGGGCCTAAACCTGAGGGTTCCAACCCAGGACACACACACACACACAGAACAAGAAATAGCGCAGAATCTGACCCTCCAAAAACAGAGTGTGGCTCTGAGAAGGCTCGGAAAACAATGAGGGGAACAAAGCCAACTGTGCTGGGCACCTTTTCCTGGAACTGTAGGGGCTGAGGATGCCCGGTGGACTTCTCTGGGCTTTGCCACAAGAAGAATGTGCTAGGCATGGTGGCATGTGCCTGCAGTCCCAACTCTTGGGGGGCTGAGGCAAGAGCCCTGCAAGTCCAAACCCAACTTTGGATGACTCAGCAAGGCCCTTACTTAGTACTCAAAAAAAGTATGGGAATGAAATCTAGGGCTTTACACTTGTTAGATAAGTGCTCACCACTGAGCCCCACCCCACCACTTTCAAAGGCAACTCTAAGGTGAAGGACGCCTAACTATAAAGCCAGTAACAATACTATTACAGCTGCTAATAGCAGCTCAGTGGTAGCTGGGTGTGGTGGCACACGTTCATCACCCCAGCTATTTGGGAGGCTGAGGCAGGAGGACCCCAAATTCATATCCAGCCTGGGTGCCTTAGTGAAACACTGTTTCAAAGTAAAAAAAGAGTGGGGGGATGGCACTGGGGATATAGCTCAGTACGAGAGGCCCAAGTTCAATCCCTAGTACAAAACAAACAAACAAAAAAAACAGGCTTAGGGCTGGGGATTTAGTACAGTGGTTCCACCGCCTGCCTTGCAAGCACAAGGTCCCACATTCGATCCCCAGTACCAAAAAAGAAAGAAAGAAAGAAAGAAACTAGCTTAGAAGGGTTGAGAGGCCAAGTGTGGTGGCACACACCTGAAATCCCAGCACTTAGGAGGCTGAGGCAGGAGGATCACCATGGGTTCAAGGCCAGCCTGAACTGCATAGAGAGATTCTGTCTCAGAAAACAAAGAATAAAGAAGGGCTGAGAACTTGATATCAAAATCTTAAGACTTGACAAAGCTAAACTGATGCAAGCCACAGGCCACAGAGCCTATTTCCGTATCTAAAGCAAAAATGCACACTGGTGGTTAGGAAAGCAGGTGGCAGGGAGGTGGGAAGGGTTCTCCTGACTCTTCCCAGCCCAAAGGCCTAGAAGGCTCGGGTTTGGTATCAGGAAAAACATCTTACTCTTTGCAGTTTCAGTTTGCTCTTCTCTGTAGAACCTTTGACACATTTCTTGGTTATCTGAAATGAAAGATATTGACTTTTAAATATGAATTTTCAGTCACTCTTTCCCCAGGGACCTCATGACAGTCCCTAGGGAGAGGGAAGAAAGGATGAAGCCACTGCTGTTAAGAGTGGGGGAGCAGTACTGGTGATTGACCCTAGGGACTTTGCTCCACCCCCTGCCCTTGTTATTTTGTATTCTTTTTTTGGGGGGGGTACCAGGGATCGAACTCTGGTTCTTGTGCTTTTTGGGGCAGGCGGTGGAACCACTGAGCTAAATCCCTGGCCCTATTTTGTATGAGCCAAGGCCTCACTAAGTTGCAAAGGCGGGGATCCAACTTGTGTTCTTCCTGCCTCAGCCTCCCAAAAGGGTGGGATCACATGTGCGCCTCCACACCCAGCTAAGAACATCTTTGCAAAACAGGAAACACCACAGCTTTTCCTGGTGACCTGTCTTTCAAGCAAGAGAACCAGAGCCTCACTGGGGGACTGCGCGCCGCAGTGGGTATGCGCACATTCACACACTGGGAGTAGCTGGGCTGGGAGGCTGGGCAGGCAGGTAAAGCGTTGAAAGGAAACCAGGCAAACTTGGGAAGCAAAGCCACAGCCGACAGGGTGCCGACAGGTACAAGTGGGACCTGTGGCAGGGGAGGCGTCTGCCTGTCTGATGCAGAGGGGCTGCAGTAGGACCGTGAGTCATGGTCACTGCCCCCCCATGTTTCCGGAGGGGCTGACACTGGGAGCTTTGTGCTATCTTTGTAGGTGACATCTAAAATGTCACACTGCGTACATCAACACATGTATGGGCTCGATTCGGGGGGCTTCTGCTTGATTCTCACTCGCTGGTGCAACCATACCTTTTTGTGGTGCTGGAGATGGAACCCAGGGTGTGCACAGGAGAGCTGCGCTCCAACCTAACACTGCATTTTAGGGTGTAGAGTAAAAGCTCAGGGGGCAGAGTCATTTGGCCAGGACCGGAGATCTGGTCTAGAACCCCTACATTCGAGGGCACACAGTCTCTACCACCGTGCTTCAAACTGAGCACAGGCTGCCAGGGACCATGAAGACACAAGCTTCCGTTCGCTCTGCCACCGAAGCACTCAAGGTCAGGATTCATTTTTGCTTTGTTTTGTTTTGCACTGTTTGGTGGTGTCGGGAGCCATTCCACATAACTTTAGGGGAAAATCCTTTCATAATTAAATTATGACTAGGGCCGTCTGAGGCTATGTCATGCGGAAACATAACTCCATTCTGCCTTGGGTCACAGCTGAGGCCTCAATGGTCCCGTGGTGCTGTGACGCTCGAGGGCAAGATTACTCACGCTAGCAGAAGGCATACTGGTTCTGTGAACCGAGTAGTTATAAAAACAAAACAAAACAACACAACACAACCAAAAAAAGGGGAGAAAGGTTTCACCAGGGGAGGGACAAATTCCTTATCAGCTTAACTCCACCTACTGTTTGTTCATTTGTGGTTTTTATGAGACAGGGTCTCACTATGTAGCCCAGGCTGGTCTCCAACTCACAGCGATCCTCCTGTCTCAGCCTCCTGAGTGCTGGGATGACAGGCGTGCGCACCGTGCCCAGCTCCACCTACCGTTGTAAGCATGCTTTGTTCATCTCACGTCCTGCTCAACATAAACTCCTCGCAGGCCTCCTCAGCGTGATTCTCATCCACACAGGGGTATGTTGGCCCCCGCAAGTCACCTGATGCTCCCTCCCTCCGTGAGAATCCAGTAAACAGTGCCAGGTTCAGACAGCCTTTGTCTTTGCCCACCCGAGGTACTGACCTCCTGGCCCCTTACTCAAGTCCCTACTGCCTTCCTTTCTTTACCCTCTTTCTAGGCAGTCAGAGGACTGATCATCCTCCTTTATGGTGGTACTGGGGATTGAACTCAAGGCCTTTGCACTGGGCCCTTTTCTTTCTTTTTAAATTTACATTTGATACTGGGGGTCAAACTCAGGACTTGCGCTTGCGAGGCAGGTAGAGCACCACTGAGCTAAATTCCCAGACCTTTATTTTGACACAAGGATTCACTAAGTTGCCCAGACAGGATCTTCCTGCCTCAGCCTCCTAGGTTGCTGGGATTATAGCTGTGTGCCACACAGATCAGACAGGGATATGAAAATGGGAGTTTGTAGGCCCAGGCAGCCCTGCAGCAGAGTGGACTCCCAACAGCCAAATCAAAGAGGCAGAGGAGAGTGGGAGGAAAGGTGAAAGCCGGGAAGAAGGAACAGTCCTTCCTGTTAGCCTGGCAGAGGCAGCCAAAAGAGGAGGTCAAAGCTGAGCTGAGAAACCAAAGACAAACAACACGGGTCAACAAAACTGTGTTCTGGGGATCTGCTTTCATTGGAAAGCGAACCCTGAGGACCTCCTCACACAGGCTCGAGAAGGCCACGCCACCCACGGTTGGCAGGTGCCCACCACCAAGGCCTGAGCCTCTCCTGGGCGTGTGTGACAGCTCTGTGTGAGGAAGAGGCCTCCGCCTCTCAGAGTGTATTCCCCATTCCAAGCCTGCAGACCCCTCCGAGATTAGATGGAATGATTGCCCGTCTGCTGTGCGGCCGTGTGCCCAGCAAGCTGAGGTTTAACAAGAACAGGCCACCCAGGCAACTGCCCCTTACTTTCAGACCAGTATCACCAAGGCTTCTCTAACACCGCCCCCACGGCCCTTCCTGCTCTGATAAAATGTTATCTTCTTGAAGTAGGACCGAGTGTTTATAGAGCTCACTCTTCGACAGCACAGGATCCTGGCACAATGGCCACCCGGCCAAGACTGCTCCAGACTCCAGGAAGGAAGCACCACAGACTCAACCTCCTGCAGAGGGTGAAACAGGCCTCCCTGCATCGGGGCATCCAGACTGCGGCACTCAATCTGGGAAAGTCTCTCCGGGCTGGGTGGCTCCGATTTTCTCTGAAAGGGCAGGGAGCAGCTGCTATGGGGGCACTGGGCTTCCCAGCGAGACTGAACAACAGCAAGAGATAAGGTGGAGAAGAAGCGATAAAGCCCCAAAGTGGCCCATCCATGTTGGAGTGGGACGGGGCGAAAGCAAACGCCTCCATTCCTACAAGCTGGCCGTGCGGAGAAGGAGCCTATGACAATCACCACGTGGCCAAGGCCAGGCACCAAGGGGAATGACCACAGAGGTGTCACACTGCCACACCACAGGTGCACAGCAGGGCAGTTACAGGGAGGCGCGTCCCTCCAGTCCAGTACCAAGGGTGTCTAAGACACCTCCGGGAGACAAGGAGGCATTCATGGGTTGTTTCTTAGTGAGACACAATGACAGTGTGTATTTCTAGGGGGCTCTCACAGACGCCATGGACCACACGAGACACAGCCTCAGGGTACACTGAGAAGGAAGCTGCTGGAAGACCGACCCCCACTATTAAAAAGGGGGGTGGATTTAATACCTGTGCACAGTGGCCCCTGGGGACCCACAGGGAATTGTTTCTAGGACCCCAGCGGACTCCCAAATCCATGCATGCCTGAGTCCCTTAAATAGTGTCCGAGTATTTGCACAGAAGCCACACACTTCCTCCAAGACTTTAGATCATTCCTAAGGACCTGACACAGCATCTGTGCTGCCTCAGTGGTTGTGGTACTGTACTGCTCGGGGCTCGGTGACGAGGAATAACATCCACCAGGGTTCAGTGCAGACGCAACGTTTTTTCCTCTTTTTTTGTCTTGATTTTCCATGGTACTGGGGATGGAACCCAGGATCTTCATCCTGAGTTCCATCCCCAGCCCTATTTATTTTTATTTTGAGACAGGGTTTCGCTAAGTCCCTAAGTTGCCTAGGCTGGGCTCAGACTTGAGATCCTCTTGCCTCAACCTCCCAGAGCCCTGGCATACCCAGCATTTCTGATGCAAGGTTGGCAGAATCCAGGGAAGTGGAATTCGTGGATAAGGACAGTAAATCCAAGGATACAGGAAGCGTTCTTGCTACCCGGGCTCCTGGGCAGAGACAGGGCCCATTCCAGCAACATGACTCTTTCAGCAGCAGCAGCATTTATAGAATAATGACCTTGCATCACCAAAACTGACAGCTACATTGCAAACACACTTCAGGGATGAGCTAATCAGAAATCCCTGGGGTTATCTAAAAAGCCTGTTCTAAAACTATTGTTTTTCTAAAGGGAAAGTCCTCAGATCCCAGAGTATTTAAAAAAAATAACAGCCTCCAAGCTCCAAGGGAGGTGAGAGCAGGATGTGCATTTCTAACAAGCTCCCATTTTCCTGCATTCAAATAAAGAAAAGCAAAATAAAACAAAAAACACATAAAAGTCCTAATGCTAACCCTTGGACCCCCTACCAGCATCCCTATTATACAAAGCAAAGAAGGGAGAGCACACCTACTCCTTACATATAACATGAAGTGTTTGCTGTAAGCATCAAAGAAGCCACAAACAGGACAGGGGGGCTCTGCCTCCCCTCAAGGCAGGAAAAGGTTTTAGGTACCAACTGTGAAATGGAAAAAACAAACCAATCAGATATTCAGTAGACGCCAGAGGCAGTGGTGCAGCCTACGATCTCGGCACTGGGAGGCTGAGGCAAGAGGATCTCATTTGAGCCCACTCTGGACAACTTTTTTTTTGGGGGGGTGGTACCAGTGATCAAACTCTGGACCTTGTGTTTACGAGGAAAGCGGCGGAATCAGAGTTAAAACCCTGGCCCACCTGGGCAACTTTTGACTGAGGGAGACTCTGTCTCAAAAAGTAATAAAGGGATGTGTTCATGTACCTCAGTGCAAAGTCCCTGGTTCAATTCCCGAACCACAAAGAAAAGAAAATGGGAAGGAACTCAGTGGAGTGGGCCCTCCCAATCTGCAAATTCACCTGATGATAGATGGAAAAAAACCTTAAGTCTGGGCTAAACAGACAGATATTGTCCCTGGTTCATTTCCTGAACCACACAATGCTCTAGATAGCACTTGAGCAGCAAGAAGCTCAATTATGAGCTGCTCTAAAGTCCACAGGGTCACGCAGACCACATACTTGGGGACACCCTGAGGTCT